GTTGTTTGTTGTTGTTTGTTGTTGTTTGTTGTTGTTTGTTGTTGTTTCTTGTTGTTTCTTGTTGTTTCTTGTTTGTTTGTTTGTTTGTTTGTTTGTTTGGTTGGTTGGTTGGTTGGTTGGTTGGTTGGTCGGTGTGGTGGTTGTTGTTGTTGTTGTTGCTGTTGTTGTTGTTGTTGTTGTTGTTGTTGTTAGGCAAGTGAAGTTTTCATTCACAGGTTTTCACCCCGACATACGCAGGTCGACCTTTAGGCACAAAGTGAGTGCTACCGTGTTTGGTAGCGGAGCCTCCTTAGTGGAGGCTCCACCCCTCGGATCGGTCGTACCGTGCCATGCAGGGTCCTTTTTCGCTTTTGCATCCCTGCGCCTCCGCACATGGTGGCGGCCTCCCTTTCGACCTGCGCTTTTCCCCTTGTGTCCATCCTGGGTGCCAACAACCACCTCTTCGCGCTCTACGAAGCGATCCCGGACATCGCGAAGGAGCTCGCGGCCATGGCACAGGCGGCTTTGCCTCCAGGCGGACTCCTGCTTGGTGAGTTCCGCAAGGACACACCTCCTGGATGGTGTCCTGGTGACCCCACATACAGTCTGAAGCTCTACATGGAGTGGATCAGAATGTGGTACAGGACATTTTATCTCACCAGACGAGATGGTTGGTCTCTAAAGGCTTCTTTAAGGTGTTCCCTGGGCATTGCATCAAAAGCACCCGTCATGTCAAGAAACAATTGACAGCCTCCATAGACCAGGGGTCGTTTGATCCCGGGTGCTTTCACTTGGCCAGCGTCATATTTCCATTGTTGGTGAAGTCCTTGGACCGCCTTGACATGAGCTTGCACCCTGGTAATGGCTTCCCAGGTCCCCCGCCCAGGAAGGTAGGCAAATTGGGGAAACCAAGTCATGGCCGGGAGAGTGTGTTTCTTGGCTTCATGCACAAACAGGGACAGAATAGTCTTCGACAGTGGAGTCTGCAGTGCTATGGGACGAAGTGCTTTGGGTTCAATGAATCGTTTGTTTGGCTTGGGAAGCAAGACAACTCAGCCTTTCCGCCATTCATGTGGAATGTGTCCAGCACCCATCCTACAATGCAAGCCAGCCAAAAAGCAAGGATCCAATTTCTTCCGCCAGTGCTTTCCAAATGAAGCTGGGAGCCACATGAGCAGGCACGCTGGTCCGGCCATAAAGGGACCTCAGGGCATTGGTCAGGTCAGCAATGTCAAAAGGAAGTTGTGAAAGGGAGAAGTGAACCCCTTCCATGATTCGTCTGCTCCTCACCGATTCAGGACACTACATCATTCCGCTTGACGGCGCGCAGCTTGTGAGAAAGGAGGACCAGAGGAAGGCAGTACTCTTTATTGAGCAAGTCCAACAACAAGCACGACATAGATGGAATGATTGCTCTGACCATCTCCTCTACTGTTTCCAAACAATGGTTTCTTCGACGCCCTCCGGCGCAGAGCTTGAGCGGAGTCCAGAGAAGGCAATACCTCATGCTCTACAACCGCAAACGCAAGAGCCACAGCATGATGAACCTTATGCTCAACAACCAGATGATCTATCTCCACACAGTGCAGGAGCACTGATGCCTTCACCAAAGCATCGTCGTCGTGATCACTGGCAAAAGCATGATGGACAATGGATGCGACATCATGTACGAAGTCGGCAAGCCCGCTTCTCACCGCAGACCAGCAAGTTTCCAGGCAAGCTTTCATCTCTGGAAACCTCTCGCTAGAAGACCTTCGCGAACTCTCTCATCATCAACGCCATGAACCTGTCGACTTCGACGAGGACTGGCTTGTGTGCGTGTTTGGAAAATATCCTTCAGCAAGCTCCTCAAGGAATCCAGCACCTGCTCTACCTGGAACACCGGCGCCAAGAACACCTGCTCCTGGCGCACCAGCACCTGGCGCACCGGCGCCTCAAAGAGTTGAAGTGAAAGAAGAACCGACTGAAGAATTCCAACCCACGGCTGAAGCTATGCCAGTTCCTTACAAGTGATTGAAGCAGATAAAAGCGAAGCAAGTACCACTATCAAGCCTCTCTATGACTTCCGCCGCATCTTCAAGAAACTGCCTTCTTTGACCGGGACAGATGAAGCAAAAGCGAAGCGCATTCTACTGGGACTACATGAGCGAATGTGGCACTGTCCAGTGATGGACTTTAATAGCTGTGGCATGCCTCGTGAAGTCTTGCAGCTTGCAAAGACACTGGTCTCAGCGTGCGCTGTTTGCAGGCGCTTCACCCGAGCTACTCGACGCCCTCAGGTCAAGAGTGGTCTTGCCAAAGACTTCAATGAGGTGATCCAAGTCGACTTCTTCCAGTGGCGTTCTGGCTTGTTCATTTGCATCGTGGACGAAGCCACTCGCTACAAGGTCGCTGGACGATTGTATTTTGGACCCTCCAAGAGGATTGTTTGCGACCAAGAAGGCGCCCTCATGTCACAAGAAGCCGCTCCTGAGTTCGATCGTCTTGGCGTCGAATGTGTTCCCATGGGCGCAACAAGTGGCGCGGCAGGAACGAAGCGTACAGGAACAGGCATGGTGGAGAGACACGTCGGCCTCTTGAAGATGACGATGGCCAAATGTGCAACAGAAGCTGCTAGGTTCTCCATCACACCAGAACCTGAAGAGCTAGCGGCCGAAGCGTTTATGGCTCACAACCTCACGCTGAACATTGGAGGATACAGTCCTTCTATGATGGTCTTCGGCGTCCTTCCTTGTGGTTACTTGGACGTTGAAGAAGTTCCGGTGCGATTGAGACAGATTGCACTTCAAGCAGCTGAGGCCTCCATCCTCGAGGACAGGATTCTGCGCGCCGGCCGAACTCGGCCAGAGAAGCTGGACCTCTCCAATCTCATTGTGGGCTCCACACAAGTCGACATCGATCGAGATGATGGCAACTATGGATGGAGAGGCCCTGCACTTCTTTTGAAGATCAATGATGCTGATGGTACGTGCGCCGTGGAGTACCAGGGACGACCATACCTCATGAGTCTGCGCCACATCCGTTTCTACCGAGGAAGCTTCTTCTCTCACTGCTTTGACGATGATGTGGAGAAGATTTGTGAACAGGATCTGCTTTCGCTGCAGCAGCTGGTTGAAGAGAGTAACCCCTACAAGCTGCACACCATTGGCTTTCTTCTCAAGAATGCCTCGAATGCCTCTCTGGAATGATGGACCAAGGTTCCTGCCGAGATGACAGACACCGAGAATGAGTATTTGGCCAAAGCGCTGGCGTCTTTATTCAGCAAGAAAGAACTACATGGCATTCGCTATGGAAGAGCAGTCAAGCAGGTCTATATTCCCAGTTCTCAAAAGGCGTCTTGATCTCATGGCCAAAAGGATCCAAGCAATACGTGATGATGGAGCACAATGGAGACAGCCACTTGGTGCTAGAAGATCACACAGTGCTGGAGGATGTTTGTCGTTTGTACTTGTACTACTTTCGTATGGACACCTCAGAGTCTCGGAAGCGAGGTGGTCCTGAGACAAGAACGATAGTCATGGCACCAGAGAAGAAGAAGGCAAGATATGAATACGCTGAAGATGAAGGGCCGACAGAACAAGAACTGCTCCTGAACTCTTTATGGTGGATGACCAAGCGACCACTCAAGATCGACTACCCGAGCGATGAAATTTGGTTCGACAATCGCTCGCTTATCATGCAGTACAACAGGACTCCACCAAAGAGTACATTCCACACCAAGCTCAACACATCCGAGGCACTACATCTTCCACATCCATGGGGAGACTGAAGAGCTCCTCTACATGGACATGAGGACCACTGAGATCTTTAGAGTTGATGCCGGCACGGACGTGGTGACAGAAGAAAAGCTGGCTCCACATTGGGATGCCTTTGAGCTCTCTGATTTTGCAGAACTGAAGCAGTTTGTGGATGAAGGAGCATTCTTCAAGATGCATATCAGCCAGGTGACAGAGGACATGGTCATCGTTGACTGCGCTTGGGTCAGGAAGTTCAAGAGGAATCCTGACAAGACAATGAAAGCCAAGAGCCGTCTATGTCTGGATCCCCAGAAATCATCCATGTCCACTCGTTCCACCTACAAGATTGTCGCAACGGATCCTGGTCAGTTTGGCTGCCGCCATGAATCTGGAGATTGAATCATTGGATGTCTCTGGAGCCTTCTTGAAAGGTCTGTCGTTTGACGAGGTGAGGAAGCTGCGCGAGCGACGCGTCATCTCTCCTCGACGTCTGGTGGCTATCATCCCACCAGCCAAGGTTTGGCGCCAATTGGCCAAGATGGACAAGAGCTTCGACATCCCAGAGTCTCAGATGGGCGAGTAACTTTTGGGTTGCAACAAGCCTGTCTACGGGTTCAATGATGCGCCTCTGTCTTGGCAGTTGTGTTTACACGAGTTTGTTGAAGAGCTGGGTGGCCAACAGTCCGTGTGCGATGAGAACATGTTTTTCTGGAAGACCAACGGCCAGGTGAGCACCATCCTCACGACGCATGTCAATGATATTGCTGCGGCCACGACTCCTGAGATGCTGGAAGGCTGTCGCAGGTCACCAAGAAGTTTGGGAAGGTGACTCGTGAAAAGATGCCCTTCCAACACTGTGGCATGGTGTATGAAAAGGTTGCTCGAGGCTATCGCGCCCAAGCTCCCTCAAGACGACTGAAGTGGAGAACGACAAGGGCAAAGAGCGACCTCTCACGAAGGAAGAGACCACCAAGTATCGCCCTATCTTGGGCCATTGTGAAGCGTGCAAAGGACAAGAAGTACAAAGACTTGGGCATCATCTACAGGCATCTTTCTCAGAATGCCGGATGGAGACTTGCTTGCGTTCATGACGCCAGTTCGGCTTCGCAAGGACACGCCTATGTCAACGAAGGCATCATGGTTTTCCTGACTGTGGATCGCCTCAACCTGGACGGCTCCATCCATGAGATTGATGGTTATGATCCGCAGATCTTTGGAGGACCTGCTCACCTACTATGGGCTCAAGGAGGCAAGGCAAAGCGCATCAGCTACTCAACAAGTCACGGAGAGACTTTGGCGGCAATCAATGGCCTGGAGTCTTCATCGCTGGTCTCCCTCAGATTGGGTGAGTTGCTCATGCCAGACAGCAAGCCCTCATTGGCCCAGCTGGCTGCGCTTCAGGAGGGAGTGCCCTTCCTGCCGGTTGACGTCTACACCGACTGCAGAGATTTCTATGAGCTCACCACAGGAGTCAAGGCAATGCCGCAAGACAAAGGCCAGCGCATCTACATCATGGCACATCGATCAGGTGGGTCATCATGATTCCCACTGAATGCGTGACAAGCGATGCCTTTACCAAGGTGATGGTTTCTGCATCGCTCAATGAGCTTCTCACTACTGGTGTTGTGAGATTTTTCAATGTGCCGAATCACCTCATCGAGGCCAGGAGATTGCCAATACTCCAAGAAGTGGAAGAAGAGCGCCTTCACCAAGGAGACGAACAGTTGCTCAAGAGCTTGGCTTCATCGTCGACGAGCCCTACTACAAGTTTGCTGGTGGCACTATGTTTCTTCCAAGGTGGCGAGGCTACAGCAAGGACGACGGAAGAAGAAGAAGAAGAAGAAGAAGAAGAAGGTGACAAGTCACTGTGATGGCAGTGATTGCTGTTGCCGCAGTGGCCTTGTGGCATATGGCCTGGAAGCTTTTGCACCGAATGTTCAAACGGTGCATTCGCTATGCCAAGGATGAGGAAAGCCAATGTGACCTGTTCACGACATCAGGTCTGGTGGCAGAGGTCAAGAGTCTGAGACGCCAGATCGAAGAGCGTGAAAAGGAGAAGTCAGCCTTGGAGAAGGAAAAGCTGACTTTGGAGAAGGACCTGACCTGGTCCCTGAACCAGACCAAGATGGAGGAGGCGGCCCACACTCGTCTCCGGCACCGACTTCGCCAGTATGAGGACATCGCGTCCACATCTACAAGTTCAGCAGCGGTTGAGCGAGGCCTTGAGTTGCGCAGAGAGCTGTGCCCCGTGGGAAAGGAGATCTTTTACGCTCCCACAGGGGAAGTTTGGCATGCTAAGAAGAGCTGCAGGGCCGCTCCACTCACAAGATTCTTAGCCGTCGAGCCTGTACACGCTGCTCCGGCTAGGGACAACCGCTCACGACACAGAGCAAGAGCGGAGTGAAGTTTTCACGCGCAGGTTTTCACCCCGACATACGCAGGTCGACCTTTAGGCACAGAGTGAGTGCTACCGTGTAGGCACAAGTTGAACTAGAGCAACTAGAGCGATCAGCTCAGCAACCTTTGACGTGAATTGTGGCTTAATTAAATTTGAATCGTTTCACCATGGTCGTTCTTAGCAGCAGCTGGAGTGTTCTCGTTTTTAAATCGTAATCAATTAAGCTGCTAGTCTATCTCGCGGAAGCAGTTCCATGGTGGCCACAAGCCACGTTTATTTTTTGTATCACACTAGAAGTGGCCAACTGCAATTCAGAAGCACAGGAACTCCAGAACAAGTACATCCAGCTGGTGGTTTTGCGGCTATCGCCAGCTTCAACGATTGACAAGATGATTCAGGTCTTCAGGCGGCAGTACCAGACGGGACCAGAGGCCTTGAAATTGCAAGTTGTTGATGCCCAGGAAAATGCCAAGCAGCTGCGCTGCATAGTGTCCTCTGCCTCAGTGGCATCATATGGGAGTTCCGTCTCGAAAATGAGCCAAGCAAAGGCCATCCATGGCCGGCGCTTGAACCTGGAGATGGATAAAACTCCTCCCAAGTGGGATCATGCAGGCCAATGGCAATCTGTCGATGCCCAGCTCTACACCTACTTCTTCGAGGATTTGGATGAACCCCTGCAGAACACCCGCAAGCCCTTCCGCGCCCTGGTTTCCCCCATGCCCTTTGACAAAGGTGCCATGAGATTTGCCTTCTATGTGGTGGACCAGGAGAACCTTGACAGGAAGTACGTGGGCAAGGTCTACCAGTTCCAAGACCCGGTGTTTCAACAGAAGTCCACTTATGAAGGTGACATGGCGTCGCAAGCAGTAGCCTCCTACTTGGCCAAGGAATTCAGTCTCAGGTACCCAGAGAGACCCATCGAATTCGTGCCCGCCCAGCTGTTGGACTTGGGGGATGTCAGTGGGTTTCCTTTCCGTTTCATGGCAATTGAGCCTTGGATCCCTGGGAAACATGAGAAATATACCTCCAATGCTGGGCACATTGCCAAAGATTCCGATGTGGCGCAAGCTTACAGCCACTACACCTGGCAAACCACCGATGGCGACATTATGGTGGTTGACATTCAAGGAGTTGGGAACACCCTCACAGATCCACAGATCCATTCGTTGGACACGAACCGCTTTGGACGTGGCAATTTGTCTTCCAAGGGCATGGATGCCTTCTTCCTGAACCATGTCTGCAACGAGATATGCCACACTTTAAAGCTTGAGGCCCACCCACTTCAGCCAGGGTCACTTCACCAAGAAGAACTTGCTCACCATCTTGGCTCGATTGGGGAGGAGGTCCCGAGTGATGAGATTGTTGAGGGCCCAGAGCTTCAGGTCGATTGGATGCCAATGTCCGGTTCCAAACTGAGCGCTTTTCTGGATGCTGTGAGAAAAGATGCTGAAGATTTGGTTGGCCAAGCGCCCATCTTTTCTTGGATGGAGTCAGAGTCTGACAAGTGTCCTTGTCTTGGAGGCGCCGTTCTTCGCTGGAATAATTGCCCAGAAATTGTGGAGGTCAGGAAAGGTTCTCCGGCGGAAAAAGCTGGGTGTCAACCTGGTGTGGCTTTGAAACTTGTGGGTGGCACGTCCGTGGGGAAGATGTCGAAGAAGGAAACCTTACGGCTTCTGGCCGCAGAAAACAACATGATGGTTGGCATGGCGACTCAGCGAAGACTCAAAGGAATGATTGATGAAAGGAGGGAGGAAGAGAGTGATGGAGGCTTAGAACGTTTGATGCATTTGATGGCCTTGAAGCAGTTGGAAGACACGTTTGATGGGCTTCTGAAAGGGTCAGATGGACTTTCGCGGCTTCTATCAAAAGGCAGTCGTTTGAAAGCTTTGAGAGAGTTGTTTGAGGACTCTTCTGAGACTCATGACATGTCATTGAAGAGACACCTGTTCTTGGAAGCAGTCCGCGCCGATGCTGCTAAGAGAGCTCACACGCCAGACGCAGCCGAGAGCTGGGATGAACAACATGCTGCTAGTTGGCATAAATTTCTTACAGTAATCATTTGATATTTGCTTTCCACCCGAAAAAGAAGGAGGGACATGCAGAGACTGTGTTCAGCTGACTATGCCACAGGGGTTGAAATCTCCAGCCAGGCTGTGGCTTCTGATACTTTGGGTGGAGCCGTCTTTGCATGGACTTCCCCACCTCAAGTGACCGCGATTGTCTCTGCATCTCCTGCGGATGGGGTTGTGTCTGAAGGCCAGTTGGACATGTTGCCTTGGGAATCCTTGGGACTTGAAATTCATGTTTTACAATCTCCCCGACGTTACATAAACAACATAAAACAACATATATAAGCAGAAATATATAGTACTCATATACAATTATGGACAGACCTCTATATTCTCATACATTCGGTTATATCTTAAATGGTTTTCAGAATGTCTGACATAGCGCGCAAAAAAACAATATCATAATTTAGGATATTGATTGTTTGTTTACGTATGTCATATTTGAAGTTCCAATTACATTAGATATAATTGTCTTTGTCATTCTGTATTTTTTGTTCGCACCAGGTTTTCTGTCTTGTTGGAGAATGAACATGTGCATCAGGCATGTTCCGCATTCTTGCTGGAAGGCCCAGGTGAAACAAACCATGCAGGTGACGCACTTCATGAAATTGACGGCGAGAATGTCGAGACACTTCCTCGTGAAGAGATTTTGCGCAAGTTGCAGGATTGTGGTCGTGGCATTTGTATGAGGGGGTCAAGGAAGCTGCAAAAAACACGCCCGGTTCGGTTCGATGGCCACAGTGGTTTGCAGACAGGCGCCCTGGGGTCGATGACTGTGCTATGGTCTGATCCACCTGTCATTCTTGGCCGAGAACCTCGACCCGAAGTGCTTCTGTCCATTGACGGCAAAAAGGTTGCTGGCATGTCCACAGAAAACATCATGGCGGAGCTTGACGCATCTCCGGTGGGTCAGTGTGAGTGCTTTTCCGTGTTCAAGCTTTACGTCCTTCGCGATATGCCCGGCCACAAAGAGTTTCAGGGCCATATTCTGCAAGAACAGAAGATGCCCATTCACTTTGGCTTTCAGTGCTCAGGATGCGGCAGCGAACCATTGATCGGAGCACGCTTCACTTGCAAAGATTGCGCTGTCCATTTCTGTGGTGCTTGCTTCAAGGGGCGAGCCCATGCCCACCCGGCCGGCCATCAGTTCACGACCCAAGACTTTCCATGGACACCTGCTACCAATGCGCCTGCTGCTCCAAAGATCAATCAAGGTTCCAACGTGGTGGTCATTGGCACAGGCAAGAAGCAGTTGGATGGAAAGCTTGGTTTGGTCACTGCTTCGACCTCCACATCCTCAGAAGCTTCAGCAGCTTGGTCAGTCTTGATGGAGGGTGAGGCTGATCACGCAATGACACTTGAAGCCAAGCATCTCTTTCTCCGGTCTCAAGAGCAAGAGCCCACAGCCAAACCTGGACAAACGGAACATCCTGAATCCCCCGGTGAGCCATGTGGGCCCAAGGCACCAGCCTCCAAGCCAAACTCCATTGATCCCAGCCGCTTCACTTTGGTGCGCAGGCCTTCTTTCCGCGAGCTACGACAAGCTGAAGGACAAGAAGCCTTGGAGCGCTTCAAGTCCCAGGCTCTTGGCAAAGCCATGAAGAGCCATTTCCTGTGCAAAGGAAATTGTGGCACTATGGTGGAGAAGAACAATGAGCAGTACATCAAGGAAGGTCAGCTGGTACTATGTGAAGATTGTGCACAGAAGTCCAAAGAGTCAGAGAAGAAGACAACATGCCAAAAGTGCAAGAAGGAGTTTGTGTACTTCCAGTTCTTTGTGGATCTTGGAATTTCTGGTGCGCCAACAACATGCAAGGAATGCGAGGAAAGTGCAAGTGAATGGGCAATCGTGAGCCCACTTCCACCTGAGCCATGAGTGATGGTTGACGAGTGAGATTTGCCAGCATGTTTAAGGGACTATTCACTATCCTCAATAGTGTAGATTGATGAATCAAATAAATACAATCAACCATCCATCGACTCATGCGCGGGGCTTGGCTCTCACTCCGAGGTAGTACCCAAGTTGGGTCAACGGCGAAGATCCGTGATATATCAGCCTTTTTAATCGTTGGCTGCTTCAGAGAGACACTGCGTGGACAAAGGTGGAGAAAGCTCTGAAGTTGCAGGGCTGTGCTATGTTTGCATCTTTGCAACGCCAGCTTTCCATCAGTTTCAGCCTACAAACCCATCCCAAAGTCGACCTTCAGCTACTGCTTTCTGAGGTAGCATCGCCTTGAAGTATGTGTTTGCATGGGCCTCGGGCTGAGGTGACACTGCAACACACCCATGGCACCATACACCTAATGCATTCCTCATTACTTAATACACCACAGATGGCAAATGGTTACACATTTTTTTGTTACTTCCGATTCCCAGATATTCAACTGTTGTCACGTTTGATGTGATTAGAATCTTTGTCATTGGTGTTATCACAAGCTTTAGTTGGGTTTTGTAGTTTAACATTTTGTGTCCCCGCATGTGCCATGCCTTCCAGGCTATGCCTGTGACCTTGATGGCAGGCTACGTATTGCCTCTTGTCTAAGAGGTGTGGCTGTTGATAAGTAGATGACTAGGTGGGTTGAGAAACACTCCTGATGAACGTGTGAATTTGAAAGAACACATATATGTCAAAAATGAACATTTACTTTGGAATCCTAGTAACCGGAAAAGACTTAGAACCCTAGATGAACCTTAGTAGAGTTTCTAAGGATGCTAGGCATTTGTGTGTGTTTCCGGCATTGTGTTCAAGTTGTTCTTGGGTCCATTTTGGTGATCCCCTAAGCGAAAAGGAACAGGTTTGGAGGCCATTTCAGAAACAAACGCGATTATGACGTGCTAACAACAGGAAGCCTGGTGATCTCTAACCGCAAATCCAAGAGGTTTAGTTAGGGAATTAGAAATACCAACTGCCTTGCTCTAAAGCCCGTGCATCCAACGTAGAAATCTAGTCGCTGGCTGTTGTGGGTCGAAATGTCAAGCCATCATCAGTGAAGCTTGGCAGGAGGCTGCGCATTTGGCCTTACCATGCAGAGCTAGCTATCGAAGACACTTGGCTTCACAAGGGAAGCGTGTTGAACTCAAGGTGGATCAAATGTTTTAAGCGCCACCATGAAGCGAACCATGTGGTTTGACCTTGAAGAATGCTCTGGTTGGTGTGTGCGCGTGTTGGAGTTCATTGTGATCAGTTTGTAAGTGTCTAAAGGATGTGCGCATTTGGGATGTGCATGATGAAAACATCTATATTAGATTATTAGATATCTATTTTGTTTGCGGGTTCACCAGCAAAACTAACAATGCAAACGCTTATGTCCTCAATCTTGAGACAAGCGCTGTATGTCCACATCGTTCTTCATGCAGAAAGGCCATCTCGGATTGGCAGAAACCTCTGCTAGACAGCAAAGTGTCAGACAGGTCCAAACCTTTATACAGCAAACAGAATCTTCAAAAACAAGCAACACTAGTAGAGGAAAACAGGGGAAACCGCAATCGATTGAATCATTAAGCACAGAGAACCTTTTCCTATGATGGACCCAAATCCCTTGCATTCTTTAGCCATGTCCACCTCCAAAAAACACTGGGAAGAGGGAGCACACGTTGCCGGTTTCGCCATCCTAGGCGCAGGTGGAAGGTGCCACAAAGCTGACACCGCTCTGGGAGAAGTTCCTGCAGGCGTGGAGAGCAGCTCTGGGGAAATTGCTTGCCATGCCAATGCTCACCATTCTTTGATCAAAAGGCAGCGGTTGGTTTGGGATAGCATTCTAGAGTCCAGAGGTGCAAGTCCGCATATGTTTCAGGTGAAACTCATTTCTTGCAGAATGTAGTTGGAGAGGGTGTGCGCTTGTATACGCAGGGGGATTGGGCACAGAGGCGTGACTTCACGCGACTGTTTTTTTTTTGGTGGGGGTTGGGTGACTATGTGAGGATGGGGCTCAACGTGGCTGCCAAGTAACTAGAGACGGAGCTCAATCTCTATGCTTTTAAACAACTGTTTTATACAGGAAACTTCTTGCAAGGCGGGACAACATCTACAATCCATGGCTGGAGGACTCCCCCGTTCTTGAGACGTTGGTGGAACAAATCTGAAAAGTGTTCCTAGTTAAAGGACAAATCAAAGCACGACTTGGATCAGCGGCGAACTTAGTTGATGATTTGGCCCGTGAAACAGTGCAGAACTGTGGACTCTGGGGCAGGTGGTATCAAATGCCTTTCTTGGAGAGTTTTGCGCCTAGTTGACCTAGCTCCTTGACTTTTGGGGTTTTCATGTGTCTTCATATCTTTGTCTTCATTTTGGAAGTGTTTCCTCTCTGCTCCTTGCTCATACATACAGCTTAAGCATCTTTGGGCTGGAGATGATGAGGCATTTTCGTGGATTGAGTACCCTCACACAAGAGAAAGCAAGGGGACATTCTACTGCAAGGTGAGATGCAGGAAGCTTGTTCTCACCAAACCGATCGGTTGGAGAGTCGCCCAAATCGGCTTTAACCGGTCTCAGCGACGGCCAAGCTTCGACCTTTCGAGGGTACAACCATCGACCACTGTGTCGGTTCGCTTGGCCCATCGTCGATCAAATTGACCTCCATCGACCTCCATCGACCATCGGCCCATCATAGAACCGCCGACCCATCAAATGTAGAACTCCTCATCGATCAACTTGACCTACTTATAGTGATGACCTGCATGACTCATGGGGAATGACCGAAGGACCGGACGATGTGCGCGACGATGTTCCGTTGCGATGGGTTTCGATTTCGGCCAGGAGTCGCAAGGCGAGAGACGACGAGCGAGGCGAGAGACGGTGGCCGCTTCGGATGAGACATCGAAGAGCGACGAACATCGAGAGCGCCCGAGATGCCTGAAGAGGCCTGAAGAGGAGAACCATCAAGAACCCGTATAGTAATTTTTTTCATGGTAGTCATTGGTCGTTTAGCCAATGTCCAACCCGTCTTTACGTCGCCATGATTCTAGATGATTCTGACCTTTCTTGAAGCCCTTTT